TAATTAATAGTTTTTCCCTTCAAAATCAGGCTCTTTTAAATAACGGCAAAATGCTAAAACGAACCGCTCACTACCTAATTGGCTGGCTAACTGAATGCGCAACACCGGTACTTTCGATTGCAACACACGACGCTGCTATCACGGCAATCTCACAGAGCAAGAGAAGTTGGGCATAAAGTTGCAGCTGCATTTGCATTTGTAAGGCTTCAAAACTACAAATTGCTAACAGACAGCGCGTCGAACGGACAAATGCAAAGTTATATAGGTAAGTATAGATGTAGATATGTGTGTGTGTACCTCTAAGATGCACATCCATATTTATGTATGAATTTGCAACAAACATTTGCATGTACATACATACATATGTATGTATTTCGATTAGGCCTTTGCTCTTTCATTGATGCGCGTTAATGATTTGAAATTTCCTTATCTTAACGGCTTACAACTAATATTAGTTTACTTTAAAATTTTTTGAATTTACATGCCTAAATCGAACCAGTTTTCATGCTGATACCTTCTGATTTGCTAAGTATCACAAACATATTAGCGTGGGCCGAAAATCCGCTTTTATAGAATTTTGATTGGTACTAGCAAAAATATGGCTCATTATGCTTTAAAAAAAATATGTGTGAAATTTGGAATTTTTTGGTAAATATCCTAGGCTCGCCCAAGTCCATCAAAGTTCAATGTGCTCAAAAAATAAAAATTAATGAATAAATTAATTAATACATTTTTTACTAAAGTTGCAATAATCTTCTAAAGTATTAGTCCTACATAATTTGCTATATGGACCTTTTTTGTAGAGAATCGAAGTTAGCTAACATTTTTTTAGTACTTGAACTTTGATGGCCTTGGGCGAGCCTAGTATATTGACCATTTCACAGATATTTTTTAGAGCATAATGAAATCAAATTTTTGCTATTAACAATCAAAATTGTAAAAAAGCGGTATTTCGGCCCACGCCAATACATATGTATGTACTATATGTATACACCCGAATGAAGCACATTGATTGCTATGTAATATTATGCTTGTCTTTTGATACGTACGTACATCCATATGCAGGTAAGTAGTTATGAAAACAAGAATAGTGGAAATTCATACCTGATTTATATTACACTAAGTATCAAACGTAATTCATTTTAATGCAGGGTCCAGTTTTTTAACTTAACGGCCATGACGACCGACAAGGGTTAAGGTCTAATGCTAATGCATTGTAAGTAGGTTTGTACCATACCCAGGATGATAATCCAATCCAGACGAACACGAATGAAATCTTAAATACTACCAACACGTCTTCCTCTTTGGCTCTGTAACCGCCTAAACGATTTTAGCTGACTTCAACATAGCGCGCTGTGGCGGTTAAATTTTTTGCAAGGGCATGTGAAGAGGTGCTGAGAGTCATGTGGCGACTTTCCCCATGCCTGGCATTGGTTAGGCACTTCTTTATTAATTCTGCTCAGGTATGAGTTAAGCCAGAGCGAAGTTGGGCTATTGTGGTGCGGATCTCCCGAGGCAGACAAATTTCTGTCCCCTCCACTTCCGGTGGTTGTGTGCCCAGAACGGCATTCACAAGGCGGGAGTCTACATACCTCGAGACTGATTCCCTGTAAATGCCGATCAGGGCCTGTCGGTAGGCTGACGGGTCCAGAGGTTGTTTAATGAACCTCTGCACTTCGTCCGTCAGTTCGTAGAAATGCCTCCTGACGTGCCTTGGCGAGGGCTCTTCTGCAAGCAGCTGTTTGCTAGGATAACCACGTCAGTGGCTCCCCACAAGGAACTGCTTGCAGAGCATTGGGTTATGCTCCTTGACTGGGAGCATCTGGGCCTCGTCGTGTAGGTGGTGTTGGGGCGTCATCAGGAGGCATCCGGTCGCTGTCCGTTTTGCCGCATTCTGGCAAGTTTGTAGCTTCATCCACGGCGTCCTGCTAGTCCCAAGCGACCACACGGGCGCTGCATAGTTTAGAACCGGCCGGCCAATTGCCTTGTATGTTGCCAACAACGTTTCTTTATCTTTGCCCCAAGTGCTGCCGGCCAGCGACTTGAGGACATTGTTGCGGCTCTGTACTTTGTTGATAATTGTGGTTGTATGCGCCGAGAAGGAGAGCAGACTGTCCAAGGTAACTCTGAGGATTTTCGCCGACCACCCTTTAAGTCCCTGTGGGAGACAGGAGGCCTCTATATCTTCTAGCAGCGTTGAATGACTGACACTGTCGAACGCCTTGGACAGGTCCAAAGCTACTAGAATAGTTCTCTCAAAGGGGCGGTTTCGGTTAAGGCCATGAGTTATCTGGGTGTTTATGGCGTGTGCACTTTACGGAACCCATGCTGATGCTTCCCCAGCTTCAGGTGGTTCGTGAAAAACGGGAGTAGCAAGGCCTCTAGTATCTTCGCTACCGGGGAAAGGAGGGTTATCGGGCGATAAGACTCTCCTTTGTTGGCTGGTTTCCCCGGTTTGAGCAGTGGGACCACTCTCCCCATCTTCCATATGTCTGGAATGACGAGAGTGGCCATAGACAAGTTGAGGACCTCCGTTAGGTACGCTACTCCCGCAGGACCCAAATTTTTCAGCAACAACATGCATGATCCGTCGGGTCCAATGGCTTTGGAGGCTTTCGCCTTCCCGATGGCTACCCTTACCTCACCGCTGGTGAAAACAAGAGGCGCACTGGGTTTTGGCATTTTGTGCAGCCTTCTGGTTACTCGACGTGTGGCTTTATCCACCGGAAGATGCATAATAAACTGCCGGCTAAAATAGCTCCCGCATCGCTCCGGGTCCGACGAAGCGTGGTCACCAAAGTCTATTTCGACTCTGTCGACACGCGTCGTCGGGTTGGACAACGACCTCACGGTTGACAAAAGCTTATTCACACCAGAGGCGAAGTTACAGGGCTTCAGATGCTCTGCAAATTTCTTCCGCTTATGTACGTCCACAAGTTGCCGAATGCCGAATTAAGATCAATGATACGGGGATTTCCGGGATCGGTCTGACGATTGGGATGAAGCGAGCTGCAGCAGCAGTGACAACCCTGCGGATTTTACGTTCACCTATGTAGACGTCGGTTGATATGCGTAGTGCAGTGAAGGCGCTTTCAGTAACATCCGCGAAGCCTTTCCAGTAAGCTTTGGAAAATTTGACATAGGTCCAGTGATCCGCGGAAGCAAAGTCGGCAGGTTTATCAATCGAGATTACTATGCGCAGATGGTCTGATGCTAGGGTCAGCATAAGTCGCCATGATGCGCTGTTGATCAGACCAGCGCTGACAACTCTTAGGTATGTATACGTTAAATATTTAAAATATATTGCTCAACATCGCCTGACCGGATAGCAATACCCTGGCATTCTAGGATGGTATCCCTGCGGTCGATGTCTGCTTCAATAAGACGATACTGCACGGTGTGGTGCGTGATGAACGCTAAACTTCCACCATTGTCTCGCTCGCAATCTCAACGGTGTACGTTGTATCCGGCGCAATTCAACAAGGTTGAATTGCCGTGCAACTTCGTCTCTTGGACCGCAGCTATTAATATTCCATGCCTTCCCATAACGACAGTTATCTTCTCGATCTTGCTCTGGAGTACGTTACAGTGAATTGTACCTATGTGTGCCTTGGAAGACCGATTGTTATGTGTGGTGTTAAGGAGTTGTGTTGCCTGCCGGCTCCCTGCTGTACGTGCTGCAAAAAGGGGTGCGGCCTTGTGGTGGTGGTTGGCGGCGTCGCGGGGAGGTATGCGACTGGGCAGCTGGGACCCACATAGTCACTCGTCCAATCACGCGTGTTGCGAAGTCCTGAGCATGCCCTAAAGTGGCAACAGCCAAGGTATATTCTGGACTGACAAACCGAACAGATTGTTGGAGTGACTAGGAGTTGCCGGCGGCGGTGTGTGGGTGCTATTATCTTTGTGTGTGCATCTGCTGTTGTTGGGTTGGGTTGCGGTGTGGGTTTGTTGGTTGTGTGCTGCACGGGCGGGTGGTGGTTTACCGTGGAGGCGGTCCGGTTCGCACAGCATGTGGCCACGAACGACGTGGTCCATTGCCGGTGCGTACGTAGGCCCGAGCAGGTACTGAGATGACTCCACCCATTACATGCATTGCACCTGACCGTTGTGAAGTTTGTATGCAGTCGTCTCTGGCATACGCAGTAGGTGGTAATTTCTGCCCTTTGATTGAACTCTATGCCAGCCCTAAACATAAGGGTACGGAGAAGATGTAGCTCTAGTATCGAAGAACGTTCGCTGGATTTCGCCGACCTAAACAGGGTTAGATCGCCGAAACAACAGCCCTTGGTCGGGTAAAACCAGTCATTCCGGTACGTAGAACCGGCTGACGTGGGAATGTACGACTCAGAGACTCTCTTTGGTGGTTCAGGGAGCTAATAATTAAACAGCAGCAGAAAAGCTACACCATCCAGTGGAACCCTCTGTATTCCTTGGTTTTCTGGTATTTTATTTGACGAATGTCGACCACTCAGATGATTCACTGACCACCGTTTGAGTCCCTGTGTGAGAGAAAGCCTCAATGTCTACTAGTCTATTAATACTCAGAGTGATATTCTGCCAGGCAATCGATTTGCTACCTTATCTAACATGGAAAATTGATAATGGAATTGTAGTAAATTGTTCCTGAGCGATTCAGTTCTGCGGCTCTTCCGGATACCAAACAAGGCATAGGCAGCTTCTTTGAGTGCTGTTGAAACGGCATTAGGAGCCAAAAATCTGCTCATCCCCGATATACATATGTAAATTAGTTCGTGAATTTCAATTTGGTCAATTAATTAATCCATACAATCTACATTTTACACTTTTTCGTGGTATTTTGAAAGTGGTACTTTATACTAACTTCAGCTGATACCTTGTATTAACTATACAAAGAAACTCTGAGTGAACTCCCGATTTCTGAATTTCGTCATTGTTTAAGAGGTTTTCCAAGTTACCCACTTTCCGGCTTAAGTGAATCCCTTAAAAAAAATTTTCAATTAATTTCAATGATATATTTTTTTTTTTCAAATATCCGTGACCGAATTATCGAGGATCAGTTCACGTGGCAGCACTCCATATTTATTTTTAAATTATCTTATAAAAAACATTTGTTAACCCAAAAAACATTAAATTATTTTATAACCACTAACTACACCATATCGTCGGCTGAGTGGAAGTTCGCCCTATCTCGGGTACTGGTTCGAAAACATCCTAACTCAACAAATGTTTGAAGAATGCCCTATCTCAGTATTCGAAACGCCCTATCTCAGAATATACTCAATTTTTGTNAGCCATCGATATACTATTCACATGTTGTTCACAATTCCATTCCAGCTGGTTTTTTAAATGCGTCTGATATATATTCATAAGTTAGCTTAAAGAGGTATTGAAACGATGTGTTGTGCACTAAATCGCCCAACTCATGACTGTTGAGGAAATCGTCCATTGGAGGAAGAAAAGTTTCGCAATCGCCATCTTGAAAAATTAAAAATAATTAATTAAAAAAAAAAAATACATGAAATATTTCCACCAAATATGTATGTATGTGTAATAATTTTACCCATTAAATGACACACTTCAACCAATTTGAAAAAAAGTAAATTCTGCAGGTAGTCCACGGCATTATTCGTATCATAGGCAGTCCAGTTATCGCGAAGGATCGAAGCACACCAAATCTTATGTCGTACATCATATGGCTCATCCAAATAGTTGAGAAGCTCCAAAGCTTTACGAAAATCAAATTCATTTGCAGTTTCATTTTCCTCAGATATGAAAAGCTAAAAGTATTGGGGAACAGAAAGTTTTGGTTCAAAATCAAGTATACTTTGAATGAGTACGCGCATTACGTTTATTATTTCATCCACTTTTAATACTTTGGCATTCTCAACGTCATATCCAAAATTTTGTAATAGGGTCTCACTCAACTGCTCTTGATAATCTATTATATTTAACTCCGCATTTATACTCTCCAATTGTATAGCTAAATCTGAGTCGGCTGAGGCAAATGCTGATAATTTGGCCAAAGACAACATGGACTGAAATAATTAAGTTCCTTTTTAGATAAGATTATTTTTTGAAAAACACCCTTTTCACACACCTTCTTTCTTTGCACAAATTCAGTTTCGTTCTGTGCCAGCTGTAGCAGTATTTTTGCTGCGCGCTCAAAATCCCCATTGAAGACCAATTGTATCCAGCCGAGCGTTGGATGATCGCGCATAAATTGAGATAACGCGGCTTGATTGCCTTTAAAGCGTTCGAACACTTCTCCTTGTCGATTTTGTCGCAAGTGCCAGTTGATCGCAAATTGTGAAAAGTCGTATTCTTCATACTTCTTTATATATGCATCGAGACGATCCTGATTCTTAGTTTCATCGCAAATAACCACTAAACTTTGGAAATCAAGAAATTTTTCCGCTAATTTGGCAGCATATTCATACTGTTCATCTTCGACTGAAAATAAAGCGTTTTTTTTTCTAAGTATAAGAAACCACAGCGTTTTTAAGTATTTGACACTCACTTAGGATGGAAATTAAATCTCTGCGCTGTGATTCGAACTGTTGCAACAGTACGTTGTACTTCTCTGAATCCCGTACACTGTCTAGATAATTTTTTCTGCCTTCCAATATAGCATCAATCATCTCGAATATTTGCTTAAACAAGCGTTGCTTTAGCTCGGGTTCATTCGTGCAATGCGCACCGTAACGGACAGAAGCGTCAATTAAATGTGACAGTGCATCGCGCAAGCCGACACTACCGGACATTGCCGTCCACGGTAAATATTCATATGCATTTGCTTTCTCCTGTTGCAGTGTAAACAAAGATGAATTGTGTTCGCGACTGACTAACACCTCGCCTATAACATGCAAGACGATGCTATTAATATCGCTAATGAGACTAGCTAACGAAGTAGTCTGCTGTTGTGACTCAATGCGGTTGTCTACAAATTCCGAAAGTGCGTGAAAAATTTCCTGGAACTTGCATAGCCGCACATAGAATAAGTCCTGTGGGGTTAAATTGCCACAAGGATTTTCCTGCCAAGTCGAAACAACGCGATTTATGGCTTCATCGATAATTTTCCCGTACCTTAATTGGCAAAAAAAAATTTACGATAGATGTCATTTGTGAAAGTCTTTTGTATTACTTATTTTGTATGGTCCTCAATGCAATAGCCGCAACAAGCTTTTCATAAATGTCAGCCAATATATAACAAGTAGGCTTCAATACGCTTCCACCCCCACTTGGTACAGCTTCGAGCTGCAACAGTAATTATGTATTTAATTAAAAAAAGAAAAGCCTTCTATATCATATTAGCACCTACTTTTTCCCAAATTCCAGTGTTATGCAGAAATTCTACAAAGTGGCGAAGCGCTAAACTTTTCTCCTTTAACTGTGTAAGAATTTGCAATGATGATGAACTACCGAGAGCATGTTTGTTACTGTGACCACCTTCCGTCCATAACTGTTCCCAGCGTGGATCCGCAGCAGGTAAATCTTCAGCCAAGTCTTCAGCTATGGTTATGACAATCCTAGTAGAAACAAATGATTATGCAAGAGTCGTATGGGAATGCTTTGAGTTGTATACCTGTCCAATTGGTTTGCATCTGGAAGTGCTTTGGAACCAGTTTGTCCTTCCGATATATTTCGCAGCAAGTCGTTTAAAATCGTATTACACATATTATTGTTGTGCTTGAGGCGATATATAAAAGCAGCCTTCAACTGACTAACTTCATCTTTGAACTCATTATACAATGCATCTGGGTCCAAATCAAGCATATATAAATTGCTCTCATTATATTGGCTATTAAAATCAGCGCTTTGGTCCAGTCCCATGGGTGACATGCCGGTAATATCGATCGCTGAGGGACCCATAGTATATGAGGAATTTAAAAAATCCATTGTGTCAAAATCTCCAGGTGTGACACAAAGTAAGCCAAGTGATCGACTGAAAAAAAGTGGCAAGTGTCCACACACAGCTGCATTTAATATGCGATCATCTTGCAAATGAAATTCAATTTTTTCCGCCTCCATTTCAGCGATTGCTGGGTTAGCCAGGTTTAATGGGTAAATATACTTATCGGTGTAGAAAAAAAGATGAGTACGTGTAACAATGAAACGCAAATTGTGACAATCTTTTTCTGTGCCAATATTGTAAAACTGGGTAAGTTTTAGCGGTATGAATGATTGCAGTTTCATTCCTTCGGCTTCTGAAGCCAGAATAGCTATTCAGTAAAAGATTTAACAAACATTTCTATTGTAAAAATAATAAACTCAAATAACCCTACCAACGGCATAGTGTATCTGTGGAGCATGTGCTGTATTTACCGCACCGCCGAGCACATAAATTTTGCCATCACAAATATGCATATCCAAAAGATGTAAATTTATATCGAGACTATCTGTGAATAGAACATAATTTTTTATATTTCAATGTACATACATATGTACATACCTAAATATTACTGCATAGCTATAACTTTTTGTATGCACAGTCAGTCAATAAAGTTTAGATACTTTGAGTGGTTGGCAATACGTACAACTATTTCTTCCATATTTAATTTTTCACCGATTTTTTATAAAAATACGGATAAGTTTAAAAGAAAAACCACAAAAATCAGAGTTCCAAACCTTGCGCAAAATTTAAGAAAATTCTGCAAATTTTCAAAAAAATATTGCTCGTTTTAATTACGCCTGATAAAAAAATTCAGTATGCAGATTTTTAGCCCATTCAATTTTAGTACAATGAAGTGCAGGTGTAAGGTAGCCAATGATTTTTGGCAAATTTTTTTGTTGAAGGTGTCGCTCATTTCCACCATATACAAAAATTATCGAACATCATTATATATGAAGAAAATGAGCGACATTTTCAAGAAAAAAGTTTGCCAAAAAGCAATGTTAAGTCCTTACTGTACTAAAATTGAATGGGATAAAAAGCTGCATCCTCAACTTTTTTCTGAAGAATGTAATTAAAAAGTGCAAAATTTTAATGAAAATTTGCAGAATTTTCTTTAATTTTCCACAAGATTAGTAACTCTGATTCTTAAGATTTTTGCTGTAGAATTGTTATAGACAAATTAGCGAAAAAGAAAATATTAAAAAAAAAAACAGACCGTATTGCAAAAAACTCTCTGTACCTAAACTTCATCGACTTGACTGTATCTTCGTTTTTTACTTTGAAAAAATATTTACCTCTTACATTCCAGAACTTGTGTTGAAATTCATCTCGTATTTTACGAATAACATCAACGTCTTCGTAAAGCAACTGTTCTACAGTGCCACCGTTAGCCAAGCGCCACCGTTGGAACCAGCGATCCGCAAGCACTGTTATAAAAGCTTCCCCGCCAGTACCTTCTTCACATGCAATGCCAACNTTAAAAAAAAAAACAGACCGTATTGCAAAAAACTCTCTGTACCTAAACTTCATCGACTTGACTGTATCTTCGTTTTTTACTTTGAAAAAATATTTACCTCTTACATTCCAGAACTTGTGTTGAAATTCATCTCGTATTTTACGAATAACATCAACGTCTTCGTAAAGCAACTGTTCTACAGTGCCACCGTTAGCCAAGCGCCACCGTTGGAACCAGCGATCCGCAAGCACTGTTATAAAAGCTTCCCCGCCAGTACCTTCTTCACATGCAATGCCAACAAATTTCTTTTGAAGGGAATCCAATTGCATTTAAAAAGGGGTGCTTTATTTTGGGATTACTTACGTTTTCTTTGTCGCTGCCACTATTCATACCCATTATAATGGAAAACTTCTTTCCGATGCCACCTAAAAACCCGGCCGCTTGGCGTATAGTTTTATGTTGCAAGACATGCCGACCGTTGACCACCTGTAGCTGTAAAAGCACTAAGTTGCATGTAGTTGTAACCAGCAAATAACCCTGTTGGTGCGGCATGTTGAGCATTTGATCGAATTCCTGTCCATCTAGTATACCACTAAGGTCAACAGAAGATCCATCGTGAGCAATAGATGGCCAGTAGCGTACATCGCCTGTGGGAGAAACTGCAACGCACGATGCCATCTGCTGCCCCTCGCCAAGGAAAACACTAACTAACGAAGCTTTATGACCAATATCACAGTGTGACAAGGTGAGTTCTCGACATTGTGCCATAGCAGCGCCCCGACGTTGTTGAGCGCGCAATAACTCCTTGGGTGTGCGAGGGGATGTGTTTTCTCCTGAACGTCGTGCATCTTTATATTGCCAAATGAGCAAACGTCGGCCATGTACCACCTAGAAATCACAAGTTTTGAGTGTATAAACACACACATATTGAATTAATTACAATATATTGTTAACCTACCCAAGCCCAGCCGTTTGGAGCGCAACGAACTGATACATTTTGATTTTTTTCATTAAATGTTAGAGCCTCATTAACCAGGACTGGCAATTGCAGACCGAAACTTTCAACCATATTAAACTCGGATCGGATTCCAACAATAGAGGGATTGGAACGAGCAGATAAACTAAATCGTCTAAAAATTTATAAAAATAAAATTAATGTATGTGTAAGCATTGTATTTGAGAAAATTTTCGCACCCTTGGCTCATGCCGGTCTTTTTCATCGATGGTGATGCCGGCCTACTGGTTGGCGGTATGGGCCTCATTCGAGTTGCATGCGAGTTCCTCGGCATCGAGGTGTACAACTGTTGTAATGATCTATCCATGGTTTGTGACAATTTGTAAAACAACTACACTTATTATTATAAACTATTTCTTATTTCAACTTACTTTTCTCGGTTTACTTCCTTCAAAATCGAAAATGTCGACAAGCGAACTATAGTTATCTGCAATCAAATTATTGTATTTTTTCTTACGGCGTAATTCAGTATTCCGTAACGAAGAATCAACACCTCACTTTACATCATACAAACTGAAATCACGCTACTCAATGATGAAAACCTTATATACCTGTCAGGAATAAAAAAACAAAAGGGCTGCCAAGAGTTTTATTAAAAGTTGTGTTAAGGCGCGACTAGACGTTACAATTAGTACTCAAGTTTTGATTTGAATTCTGCTCGCTGTGTTCTTACACGATATGTATTTTCATGTGTACATGCCACTTTTAACGATTGGAAATGCCAACATATCATGTAAAGGCAAATTAAATTTGTTTCTGTACAAAACACAATATAACCAGTAAACAACCTTCGGCTGAATTTGTCGATTGCCTTCCTCGGGGATGAATATGCTAGGGATGAAATTATTGGTACACACGCCTTCCAAGCACGCAGGGTTGCTTTTAAGAAACAAATATAATGGCGCGTATTCATAGTCCAGCAACTAAGTCGAAACTAACAAAGTTGCAACTTAAATTTAAGTACCAACTTAAAATTTACCTCTATTCATAGTCGCATTTCAAACTTCTACTAAGTAGTTTCGACTTAGTTTACGATATAGCAAAACGAGTGTGAAAATGTATCGATTTTTCTTTACGATATTTTGGAAAAATTACATTTTTATTAAATAATATCAAGTTTGACTCATCCGTTTATGTAATTTTTTTTTCATTGCATGATTATGCAAAAGAATAAGGCATCATTTTCTTGTTAATTGTGTGAAATAGTCAGAACAACCGCAGTTATGTTAAGTCGATGTTTATCGAAAGCATGCTGTGAAACATACAAATAGTAGATATCTAAATGTTATGCACAAATTTAGTTTAAAAGAACTAGCGTGAAACTGACTTATTATTTGAATTTTATCTAAATTATTCCAATTATAAAATTGTGATGTAGCTTTATTCGAATTGTAATACGCATTTAATTTCATCTTCCGATTAAAATGGGTCGATCTTTGTAATTTGCTGCAGCCGAAACTAAATTTTAAGTTGGTACTTAGCCAGAAAAGTCGAAACTAAGGCGACTATGAATAGCTTTAGTTGTGACTTAGAATAGTTTCGACTTAGTTGAGTACTAAATATGACTATGAATATGCGCCTGTGTTTTTATCATGGTTCAAAGTACTAGGGATTGTCAGTTTAAAAAAAAACATCGATGCATTGATACATACTTTACTTTTAGACTGCTTTTACACAGTTCAAGTATTGAATTCAATTCTGCTCGCATGTGGTACAGAGGGGGTGAGAAAAAAAGGGACGAGTACACATGCGTCTGTACTATCAAGTCGTTTCAACTTTCTTGCTTTGCTNTACAGAGGGGGTGAGACAAAAAGGGACTAGTACACATGCGTCTGTACTATCAAGTCGTTTCAACTTTCTTGCTTTGCTTTTGGCATTTTCGTTGCTTCCAATTTAAAGAACCAAAAACTTGAATTCAAAAGAATTGAAATGTGTAAAAGCAAATAGAAAATACAAATAGAATGAGCAAGAACTGCTTTCAAGTACTTGAATCATGTAAATCGGGTGTTATACATCAAGTGGAAAATTGTCGGTGAATCGAAGCAAAACATCGATATTTTCGATGCATCGATGTTTTTTCGACATCCTTACTGCTGAATCTTTGAAAATAATTACAATTCGAATAGCGCGTAAGATGCAAAACTCGTAAAAAAGTAAAGAAAATGGCAAATTGGACTAAAAATCAACCATCAGGTAGTGCAACTCGAAGAAAGTGGAATTTAGAAGGTACGCAACTAAATGTGTTTCCCACGTAAAGTTATATACTGGCGTTATTTTGATTAGATCGTACGTCGTTAAATAATTTGAAGTATCATATAGCGGCAGAGGGTTGTTCTGAGGTGCAGTATGACTTGGCCAAGCAATTGCTAGACAAAGACAAAACAATAGGTATGTTTTGCATAAACTCTGAATATTTTCACATTTAGGCTCTTCTCGTAATAGAACAAAATGAAGCTACGTCGAGCCAACAGGCAATACACTGGTTACTTCGCGCAGCACAACAGGGACATGAAGACGCAACTAAGCTCCTACAACAATGCTTTGACGAAGGTTGTGGCATCACCACCGAAAACGAATCTGAGGTCCGTTGTTGCTTATCAATGACACCAGGTGAGCGTGCAGCTCGCAAAGCTGCTCGGGAACTATTTTCCTGTCTCTCTAATGGTGGTGAACACATAACTCCACGCCAACTTGAGCGAAAAATGCGTGAGATTTATAATATTCAAAAGAAACGCCGGAGTCATGGATATTCAACATCTACATCAGAGGAGGAAACCGAGGATGAATGTACGAATAGTCGACGTGAACCATTAACAGACGCTGCTACCATTGGTAACGGGCATGTTAATTTGCATCAACGGCACCGACAACATAGACGACGTGTTACGTCTTACTCAAAAGAGACATCAGCAACTCCAGTGCGTGTTATAACAGAAGAAAATCTGGTATCCGCTGCAGTCAACTACGCCGCGGGTCGTATGCCTGCAGTAAACGACGATTTAACACTGTCTGTACCCACCCAGCGACTTTGGATCATGTGCCATGCTTCCATCGGCTGCTATTCCATCCAATCTATTTTGTACTTTACTCTATCACCGTTTGGTAAATTTTATAGCCACATTTCCGACAACTATACCACCTAGCATACGATGGCTTTACTTTTCGCGTTTTACTGGCTAGCAACAAATGATAATCTGACGGTATTTTTGCCATTGGGATTTTACTATTTATCTTTAGCTATCATGATCTGTTCCACATGTAAAATGCTTAAGACAAAGCAAGATTTCATCGATTTTCGCATATGGTCGGGCCTATTCTTAAGCTACGGAGATCATAACGTCGAGGCTGACCTTTCGGAAAACCTATTCCTAAAGAATAATCTTAAACCCTATCTGTATTTCTTTTGTGCCTTCATTGGAAATTTAATTGTATCACCGTTGATAGCAAACGGCTGGCTCCCGCATTCTGAATTGACTATTACTTCATGCATTTTTGTTTTTACATCGCTTTTAGCGTTTATGTACTCCTCAGCTCGCAGTTTTCCTGACTGGATTGTGCTCGTTTCCTTCGGCGTAAATGTGCTTGCCAAATACCCTTATGAAATGGACGATGTTGTTGCAACAGGTTGGCGTTTTTTGGATCTCAAAGTACCTACATTTTGTTCCTTTGTAATTGGTAACGGCATTGAATTCTGCCTAAACTGTCGCACTGCGTTGTATTTGCTTATTCCGGTGTTATTGATTCATCTGGCTGCACGCAATCATTGGCGTGGAATCTACACACACCTTATACCTCATTGCGTGACGTTGAGTTGGCTACAATTATGTATCACCACATCGCAGAGTGCCACCATGTTCGGCATGGTGAGAGCAACACTAGGTTTGGCTGGCATATTGCTCTTCTTACCCTTGTTTGGATTGGTTTCGTTGCTGATTCCAGTATTTGTGGCAATTGATTGGATGGGATTCACTGATCCAGGCATACGTTTGGGCAGCACACTTGCAGCGGCTGTACTTGCATTACTTGGATCATGCTTTTTAGCATTGAATAGAAGAACGCAGAAATACGTAACTGTTTTACAGGTAAATCAATATAATGTCGATACTAATTATGTAATAAGTAAACTAATACTCATTTAAAAAATTGGAATTAGGTTGTCGTTTGCATTATAGCTGCTTGTATACTTACATTACCCTACATGACTGCTAATTTCAAGGATTCACCGCGCTTTGGAAATGTAATATCTCTCGATAAACATGCACCTGCAATCGATAGCTTAGGAAACAGCCACAACGTGGTAGAGGGAACAGATTCAATCCGTGACAACGAAGAGGAGCATATTCCACACATTTCGGGCCCTCTCAGTTGGCAACGTTTCTATACCCTTTGCGGTCAACCAGCTGCTGAAAAAAATAATAAAATCAAGACTCAACTACGTTGCGCCCACTTGGAAGGTATGGCTGTGGTATGGACAGGTACTGTAACTCAGGTGAAAATCAGTCGAGTAACAAACATACGTGCCGAATACATAAATAAATATTTACCACCATGGTTGAGTCGCTTGATACGTTGTTTCTATGGTACACGCCTAAGCGATCAACTACACTGCACCATCGAACTGAAGGATACACATTGCATGGATATGCAGCGTTTGCTAAAACTTAGCGAATTGCAAGATTCTTGCTCGTTACATGACTGGAATTCGTATGAATATGAAATACATGTACGCATGCCAACACAAGGCCTTCTGAGTAAGAGTGCGGATATTGTGCTTCAGGCCAATCATAAATTCAGCAATTTCACAAAATCTTTAATGGCAGAGGATCGCATTCAATTCTATGGCACTCTGCAAAATAGCCGACCGCCGTTGGCTAATGGTATGCGTGATCGGGAGGATTTTATTTTAGGCGCTTCTCATGCTCGCAT